CAGCTATCTGTTTGTCAGTGATCATCTTTTTCTTTAATGTGCCAGAATATTCTTTTCCTGAAGTTTCCATTGGCTAAGAATAGTCTGACACTCTGCCCAAATACTTTTGAAGTTTGTTGGCGATTTCTCCTGGGTTTGAGTCATCCTCCTTTCATGATCCCTCTCTCCCTTTCTTCATCCTGCCATTCATCAGGACTCCTTTTATTGTGAAGAACAGGTAACGACCAAGAAGGAAATTCACTAGTTCAAAAAGCCAAGAAGGCTGCTGGAAACGAAGGGAAGAGCCAGTCTGTCTGTCTGTCTGTCTGTCTCTCTTTCTCTCTCCCTATCTCTGCCTGCCTTCACTTTTTCCCTTACAGAGAGGCTGGGATTGAAATGGCTACCCGTAAACTCAACTCTTTTTACAACCCCATCCTCATAACTTTTCCAGGCAAGATGCTAATAAAGAGCTATTCAGCTCAATCGAGAAAATTCTGACAAAAGCCCTCGACTGCTCCAGCTCAGGTCAGGAGCCTATACGTCAGTTCAGGCCTGGCATCGTGACTGCCCAGCCTGGTTATATGTCTGACGACCCTGCACTGGGGATGAAGCACTGGGATTTACTGCCCTACCAGGACCGTGAGAAGTAGAAGGAGCTTTCACAAGGTAAACGGTGCTGAGAGCAGAGTAGGGGCTGGGAGAACAGTGCAAAACTCCCAAGCCAAGCTCACCCCTCCCACTGCTTCTCTTGTGAGTCAGCTGACATGTTGCTGGTGCTACTCTCTCTACCAGGTGGATCATTCTTGTCTCCTCCTTCAAGAAACCAAGGATCCCGAATATCCTCCTATCGGGGTTTCCGTGGAATAAAGCTCTAAACTTATGCTCTTTTATTGTGCATAGCTATTTCTTATCCTTTTTCACCTCCTCCTTCTAGATCTCTATTGCACAGTCTCAAAAACACATCAAAATGTTTTCCCAAACAAAATAGCTGATTTTTTTTCCATAAGAAAAATCCTTCCATTCTCTCAATGACTCAAAGTACGACTAGCTTATAAAACATTAATCTTCTTCTCCCTGCTGCTGTGTTTTTGTGCATAGAGAGCATGCTGTCCCCAGTCTGGGATACTATAAATCTAGGATTAATTCATGATTACCTCTGGGTAGTGGGAAAATTCTGTGTAATTTTTGTGGGTTTTGTTGATTTTACTGTATGTTTCCTTTACTTTTTCTTTTTTGCTTTTGTTTTTGAGACAAGGTCATGCTTTGTAATTCAGACTTGCATTGAACTCACTGTGTAAACCAGGCTGGCCTCAAACTCATGGTGATCCTCCTGCTTCAGCCCCCCGGGTGCTGGGATTACAGGTGTGTGCCACCACTCCTGGCTACTTTTCCCTTTTTCTTATTTGTATCTCTATAGTTAACAAATGAAACCAAAGCAAGAAAACAGGAAAGGATGGCACCTGCTGTATGCGTACATTTTATCAAGAAAAACAGTGGGTGTGGTCACGATGGTGCGTACCTATAAACCCAGCTACTCCAGAAGCTGGGGTAGGAGGATTATGAGTTGAAGGCCAGTCTGGACAATTTATTGAAGTAAGAAAAGGGCTGGAGAGGTGGCTCAAGAGCAGAGCACTTGCCCACATGTGCAAAGCCATGTGATTCCCAGTAGCAGGGTAAAAAACCAGAAATGTTCCCTCAAGCCACACAGTCAGTCTTCAACCTAAGCCTCACTGGCTAGATGGTGTCACATGGCCACCACTATCCTTCAAGGGAGGATGAAAACTCAGTGTTTCAGTTTTTGGTTTGTTTGTTTGCTTTGTTTTTTGGTACCAGGGATTGAACCTGGGCGCTTGTGCTTGCGAGGCAGGCAGTGGAACCACTGGGCCAAACCCCTGGCCCTCAGTTTTGTCCACGCTGGCTCCATGGAGGAGGAATGCAACAGCAGCAGGGTCGGGGGGTGAGTATCGGTTCACTTACACCAACAGTGTCTGCAATAGTAGAGCTGGGAGACCAAGGGAAGAGACAGGGTGGGCCCAGGCTTTCTCAATCCAGGATGGGTGTGAGCACTTTGGGGTGTGACTCCAGGTAGCCAGAGGAAGCTCCAGGTAAAACTGGAGCCCTGCCACTCACTAAGATGTATACATCAAAATAAGCCTTCATGTGCCTTCTTCAGCGGTCTGGGCCAACAGTAATCACGGCTTCTTTACCAAGGGCTTCTTTGTGGTAGAATATGGCAATCTTTGTTTTATGGTAAGAAAAGCAAACTTGAGAGTGGTATTAGTTACAAATCGGTATCTAGAAAGCTGTGGAATCTTGATTCCCTCCTGGCACATCCAGTCAAGCTTGGACTCTAGGTGCAGCAAGTGATTCTTCTGCCTGTGAGGCTCTCTCTCTGCACACGGTTAACTCTTCTTGTCCTGGATTGCTCATCGATCGTGGCTTGATGTAGTGGATGCCGCCACCCCTGCTCGGTTTACTAGCAGGCTGTAATGGCACCAGCTTCCCGCTCCCCCACAATTCGGCTGTATTACATTAGGAGACTGACCGAAGCCTTTGTGACTCACATGGGCACGTCAGATGGCAGAGCTGGGAGAGCATAGCTCCTCTGCCAGTGGGTGCTGCAGAGACCTAAGTCCTGGTCTGTGAAGCAGCAGGATCCTATTGAATTAATGTTCAGCTGAGGTCAGTGTGACCCCAACTAAATTCCTTCGCCTGAATCACGGCCTCCCTCACTGACCTGATGGGTCAGTGGTTACTTATGACCTAGTCTGGGTCTCTGTTTTTACCTGCAAGAAAGCAGTGTCTCTCTGTTACAGTCTTGCCTTTGATGACTGCTACCACCAGATGCCTCACACACTACCTCCAGACGTCTCACTATACCCTGCCCTACTGCTTCTCATGCTCCTAATCAATAAATACTGGAGGTCTTGGGTGCCTTTTGTCTTGTTGCCCAGAGCAGCTTAGACCATCCCAGATCCCCGCTTTCTCTCTAAGTGGTTTCTGTGTCTTTTTTTCTCTCTCACTTGCATCCTATTGCCTTGGAGGCGATCGAGATCCACAGCCAGGGTCTTCAATAGCTTGGTGTGCTCAGCAGACTTGTAAGCCAGGTTTCGACCTCGTTTGCAGCCCTCTCAGCGCTGCATGGACAGATCTGTGCTCTGTGTCTGTTTCGCCCATGGTCACTTTGCAGTGCGTTCCCATCCCTGCCTGTCAACCAGCACCTATGAGAACCCTTCAGAAAGTAAATCATGTCCTCTCTGTGTGGGGACTAATTACACACCCACATCCTCACCGCGCCCTTCTTTTTCCCAGAAAGAAGCCAGCCTCCACCCTGGGCATAGCCAGATGCTCAGGCCCCTAATTAGCTTGCTGGGGAGGATGCCAGGGACAGGGCTCCTCTGTTCAGACCCAGCTCACTGCACATTTGTTTACCGGAGAAGGTTTTGAGGTAGAGGGAGCGGAAGCTTGCCAAGGATGTTTAATAGGATCTTGTAAACATTTGTATTCTGGAAAACTGTCAGTGTTTCCACTTTGGGACTCTTTGTTTTGAACAACTGGGAAAGAGTGAGCTAGCATCATAGGTAAGAGTTTAGAAGTGTGTGCCAGTGTTGTTCCTGGATGGGTTGTCCTTTTCAATGTCCATCTCTTCCTTCTTCCTCACCAACTGACCCCTGATTTTATTCAAGGCAGCGATATACCAAGTTACAAATGCTCTCCTTCCAAGACTCCCTGCTGCTGAGGTGGTCATATGATCCCAATCTGACCAGTCAGAAGTTGGTGGCAGTGGCTAGGTGGGGGCTTCCAGGGATTTTTTTTGTGTATGAGTGTATGGGTAGGAATACTTTTTAAAGGGAAAGTCTTAGCTGGCATTTGCCCTTTGTGCGCGTTCTCTCTCCTTTCCCTTTGTTTCTCCCCCTCCTTGATAGGCAGACTCAGTATCACAGCATCCATGTTCGGTCCATCAGCACAAGAGCTGTGAGCTAAAGATAGAAAAAAGGGAAGACAGAATGACCCTACATCCTCAACAACATTAGAGAGCTGCTCCTACAGCCTTGAATTACCCATTGCTGATGTCTTATGTAAAAACAGTTAGACAAGAAAGCCCATCCGATTGCCCCACGTGATCAGACACAATTTCAGTTGTGAGACGGAGATATTTAATGAGTGCTGCTAGTGAACGGATGCGAGTTCACTTCAGAAATCTTTGAAGCAGTGCTGCTTGAATCTCTGTGCCTACAAACCATTTGTGGGGCCCTGGGGAGAGTGCAGATTGTGACTCAGGAGATGTGGATTAGGGTCTGAGATTGTGCACGTCTCACTAGCTTGCCTCTAAAGCTGATGAGGCTGGTCCTGGGCCATATTTTGAACAGCAAGGATCTGGAAAATGACAGCTCTTTCAGGCAGCTCTTTGGAGGAGTTATTCTGTTTCCTTTTGATCTGCTTCATTTTCAGCCAAAAATCCGTAGATAACGCAGTGCATTTTCAACAAAAAGTTGAGGATTTATTTAGAATCATTTTAGAAACAAAAAGCAGTTCATTTTATTTAGCAAAATGAATTTAAGAAATACACTTAAATAAGGTAAATTAAAGACCTTTGTAGATTATTTTCTTGGTCACTTGCCTTCCTGCTGGGGGAAGCCTCTGTCTGCTCGCCTAACTAGGTTCATTCCAAGTCAGTGCGGCCATAAGCCATGGAACCACTTTGTACCTTTAAATGACTCCGCTAACCTTTGTATTCTCACGCCACCATCAGGGCAGTGAATGCCACGAAAGGAAAATGACTCAGGGAAGTAGATTCAACAGGAAACATTCTCCTCTTCCTGCCATCTGTTCAGCAGAGGCCCTGTTCACTCTGAAACGGTGGTGAAAACACACTTCCGGGGAGACGGTGGTCGAAAGCAAACAGACGGTTTTCACACTGTCAGTCACAGTGAGCCAAAGGGAAAGAAATGTGTGCATTCTGCAGCGCTTGGCCAACCAGCCACTGCTCTGCGCAGAGCCTATGCTCAGCTTCCTTGTTATTTTCTAGTTATGTACATTAAAAAAATACCACAGCATGTTAACTAGCAGGACACCTAACATGGAACATACACTACACCGAGAAATCAAACAGCTGGTTAAGACGAGGAGAGAAGGGGCAGGTGGTCTTCTCAGAGTAGTGCTTCCAGGGCTGGCTGCATCCTCAGTCGGTAACAGATCTGCACTCCGAAGGCAGGCCTTCTGACCGCCGCCACTGGGCCAGGCGCTGCTTAAACCATTTCTGGGAGAGAGAAATGTGCAAAATTAGCTGTCCCATAGCCCACACAGAATGCTTGTTTCATTTCTAAATGGTAGTCTTGGTGTCCCCCTCACACACACCCAGAGGAGGAAAACAAGGGATGTGTCCGTGGGGATGGTTCTCACTGTGATGCCAACCATTTCTGTCTATTTCCTAGGATTACAATGGCCACTGTTCTTTATCTGATGATCTGTCTCTCTCTCTCTCATCCTCAACTGCAACTTAAATAGAACCTTTCCAGTGATGTCTTCCCTGACCACTCTGTCTCAATGCTTTGGTACTTTCTTGCAACTTTAATATCAATCATTACTTTATGTGCTCATGTGTTCAAGTGTTTTAAATCAATGTATCTCCTAGAACAGTGGTGGTGAACCTAAGGCACGCATGCTGCAGCGAGGACACAGAACCCTCTGTTGGCATTCCAGCTGTCACTCCAGCATTGTGCCAGCAGCTGAGCATCGGATAACAGTGCCACGTGCATGCTCAGAAAGGAGTGGTGGTGCCAGGTGATGACATCCTGAGCAGTGAAGGTACTCAGTCTCTAAAAGGTTTACCATCACTGTCCTAGAATATAAGATCTATGAAAGCAGAGACTGTTTTCATCTCATCATCATCATTGCATCTTCAGCCCTAATACAAAGGCTCAAGAGTTAGAGATGAATCAGATTTGTTGAATGAATAAAAGAAACCAAAATAGCTCCTTGCTGCCCCAGATAAACCTCTATGGCTGCTATATCTCTTGTGTGTAGATCTCAACATAGGCTCTGCTCATCAGTCGCACCCTATTGAACAAGAATGCTTTGAATACAATAAGTAGTAATGGAGAACAAGATAACCTTGGTGCATTCTTTCTTGAGCAATGAGAGAAGGTGGGGTTGGCCTCCTAGCTCATTAGAATCTTCCAGCTCTGTATGACTCAGATATACACAGCTCTCAGAAGCAACCATGGATTCAGAAAGGCCTCAGATGGGAGGCTTCTAGTCATGTCCCCACAGGAGACCCAAGACATGTTTATATGTTGTAAGGCAGTGTGGTTGTCTCTTGACATGTCACCGGTCACCTTTATTCAAGGAGGTGAAGGATGCCATGAAGGAATGGAGAGTCATGTTGGGGAAGAGATCTGGGGTCTGCACCAGGTTGATTAGGAGAAGACTTGGATTTTAATGAAACGAACCTTGAAGAGGGGTGAGTGGGGAAACAGAGGCTTAATCCCCACTGGAAGGATGAGAAAGAGAACTCTGTGGGAAGTAGGGACTCCCAATCTCTGTTCTCCTTCAGGCTTCCCAACTCTTCCGTCATGGTGTACATGGAGAATGGCATTTGCACACCACACTGGTGTCAGTGGGCAAGCTGCTTGGGTAAGTGATGGCCTAGGGCACTGCAGTCCCACGTCCTGCCAACCAGATGCACTACTGTGGCTCCCTGGTGAGAAGTCTCTAAATATAGTTCCTAACTCCAACCAGCTGTTTGCACATGGAGAGGCCACCGTGGTGTGTGGGTGTGTGTGTGGGTCTCTATGGTCCCTTCTAGGAATAAGGACAGAAAGGAAAGAGAAGTAGAACAGCTAGAAGATGTCCAACCCAGTATGTGTTTACGGAGGTAGTGTGGTGGGAGATGACTGGAGGGCTCATTGCTTTGCATGGGCCAGGGCCTCCCTAGGTACAGTTTCAACCTCTAAGCAAACGGGGAGCCCTAGGGCTACAGGGAACAAGACAACTTTTCTGCAGAAAGTAGGGAGCTGAAGGGAGTTGAGCATAAGCCAAGATCAGAAGAAAGGTGGAAAAGTGGCCCTGAGGAGCAGGTCCCCCAGCCAAAGGCCATAGAAAGGGTGTGAGATGGGCATTGTCTCCCCACTTTATACAGGGGGTGGCAGCAGAGCAAAGGAATTAAAAGCCAGGGCGGAAACTAGGGCAAGGAATTGCTCTCCCTGGGTGCCACATTTGCACCTGGGCAAGCACTAATTTTAAGAAGAGAAAGTTCGTGTCACTTTGGTGCTTTGTCGCCGGTTCTGCTGTGAAAGGTGGGTGCTTTTTCATATAGGATCCATGTTGTACGGCATCTGTTAACTCTGGGTTCCAGTTGAGTTCAGCATGGCACCAGCTTCATTAATGAGGTCGCTGTGGGGTTTTCAAGGCCTCAAGCGCTGATTAAACAGGATTCCCAGTGACTGGCACTGAATACATAGCAGCATTTTAGGAACTAATTAAAACCCAGGGGAGGGAAGACTCACTTTTGATCAGGACTCATTTAAGATCCCATGGTTGAGCTGGCCCTGTTCAAAAGAACCACCCACATCTTTACATTATGTGGTGAAGCAGAATATTGATGGACCCATCCCAGAAATAGCTTCGGTGTGAATCACTTGGGAATTTGTGAGTTCAGATCAAAACCCTTAACCATCGAGCCCTAGCATTGCGGAGTGGGAGAAGGGAAAAGCTCAAATGTTTTCGGAAGATACATATTTCAAATCAAGTGCATGCATAATATTTTAGCAAACCATTTGCTGTTTGTGTTAAGATACGAAATCCTGGGTCCGTTCCCCGCCAAAGCTGTATCTTGTAACTTTTTACTCTCTTCAATACTAATTTTCCACCTGGTTTTATATTCCTTTTCTGACTCCTGGGAAAGACATTCATCCCTTGCTTGCTTATAAATGAATGCCCTTATTACCCTGGCCCACAGATAGAGATTTATTTACTCCCAGTGAGCAGATAATAATTAGACCCTGGGATGAGGAGGGGTTGGGACAAAATCACATTGTTCTTGTCCTTTTCTCTAGCAACTAACATTTCATTCTTTTCAGGGGGAGACCTTTAGAGCTCTTTATTCCACTGATAAAACATCCAACAACCAAAACTGCTGGTTTCTGGGAACAAGCCCAGAACATCAAGAGGAGATAAAAATACTGGAACTGTCTCCAAGAACCAGTGCCAATTGCTGTGTATGCTTGAATTGTGTGAGTGTGAGTGTATGTGTGTGTGAGTGTGATAATAAAGAACACTACTTGAGCTTTCCCAGTCCCCTAACCTTGACTTCAAAACCATTAATGATGCAGGAGCAGGGATTCTGTGAGCTTTTGCCTAACTTAAGTATGGGGCATTCTAGATTACTGTCATTCTAGAGCCCCAGCAAAAGCAACTCAAAAAGTTATTTCTGTTAGCGCACCTAACCTTCACTCTGGGATCCTCTAGTTGCCTCCCCGCTGTCCTACAGGGAAACAGTTACAAAGGTCTGCAGATCTTTTGGGGGCTCATCTGTGTGATAATTGGGTTTTCCTACCGCCGTGTGAGATGCGCCTTGCATAAACCCTGTTGAACATCGGGTAGACAGTATTGTGTATCTGAGGTAAGCGGAGAGAAGAAAAAGAAGGGTTTGCAAAGCTCCCTAGTAAGGGAATGTACCTTTCAGTCCTCCTCACCTTGCCCAGGTATGAGCAGTGTGAGTCAGTTGCAGTAACTGTCTTTGAAGAGTATCTCATGCTTGTTTTTCTCTTACTAAAGTATTACTTATTCTGGGGAAATTAGCAGTGTGATTCTATCTCTGGATGTGGCTGGTGTTACAGGGTAAGATGAGGGTCCATGTGTATGTTATGAATATTATTTTAGCTCTGGTGACCCCTTGTCATGGACAGGTACAGAGCAGAAACAGGGGATGTGCAGATAGCAATTGATTATATGTAGGTGCAGCAGGCCCTGGCCTCTGTGGAGCTATTTAAAGGATCCCTAAAAGATCTTCTATAAATAAAAAATTTATTAATACTCCAAAATTCATCATTGGGCATTTTATCTCCAAAACATTCTTTTCTTGGGCAGAAGACACTTTTAGAAATGTAAAAGTGTTGAGGGCTGGGGGATTTAGCTCAGTGGCAGAAAGCCTACCTGGCAAGCTCAAGGTGCTGAGTTTCATTCCTGGTACAAAAAAAAACAAAAAAAAAAAACACCAAGTGTTGTTTCAGAAAATGAAAGAACACTTCTTGCCTGCCTGTGCACATGAAGGCAGGGGTGAAGGGTGGAAGGGCTGGGAAGAGGACACTCAACCGAGGAAGGAATGGCAGAGGGCAGGTGGCCTGAGGTACCTAGGAGGCCTCTTTCCTGACACTTGCTGAACTGTACCTTTCTCTGAGCTCTGGGTTCCAGATGCTTAGACACATAGGGAGGAAGAAGGTATGGGCCCCACGGCAGGAAGAGGAAGCCGGAGGCCCCCCGCTCCGTGGCTGACTCACCCGTACCCACTCTTGTTGGACAAGGCCAGCCATTTGTTTATTTGAGGTTGGCAGAAGAGGGGAAATGGAGAAAGGGCTGCTTGAGAGGGCAGATGAGCCTGCTGTGTAGAGGTCTGGTAGGCTGGCCTCAGCCACGGAGAGAGGCAGGTGCCCTATCTTCCTGTCACTACCCAGATTAATTTTAATTTGCTAATATCAGGTGATCCTGGAGGAAAGGCTGACTATAGTCTGAAGTAACTGCCACTTAAATTCATGGATTAAAAAAAAATCAACAAATAGGCAAGTTACTTAGTCTTTCTGTGCCTCGGTCCCTATATCTATACAATTGTGCTAACAGTACCTACCTGTACAGTATTTTTGCGTCAAATAGATGACTTCATACTAAGCAGGTGCCTGCAATAGCACGGCCTGTGTCAGCCATTCCAAATGTCAACACAGGGCTGGGGGTGGAGCTCAGTGTTAGGCTGTGAGCTTAGCCTGGGTTTGATCCTCAACACATGCATGGACATTTTCACACGCACGCACACACTACAGTGAACAGGGAAAGGGACTGATGCTAACTTGCCACACCAGAATAGAGGCTGAGAAAGTGTTAGACCCCAAGTTGATGCTGTGCCCACGATCTCCTACAGCCTTGTTTTAAAAACACACGTAGTCTCTGTAGCCATCCCTCTTTTCTAAATATAGCATGGGACTTTTAAATGATAAAACTGCAGCAGCCTGGCTCTTTGGGAGTTCCAAGAAACATGAGCTGTTAGACTTGGGTTACAGTAAATCACCTTCTATGCAGTTCTGGTCCGAGTTAGTCAGATAGCTGCTCTGTTTGTTAGAAACAGGTACGTTTGCCTTTTTATTTGACCTTCAAATGAGAGCATTATCTATGGGCAAGTTCTCCAGGCTACTTTGGCTTGGTTAGTAAAAATCAGTTTGGACGTGGGGTCTAGGGTCTTAGACCTGGATTCCATGGAGCATAGTGAGGAGGGGACAAGTCCTCAATGCCCTGGGCTGTGAAACGGGAAGAAAAAGGATGCCTGCGCTTTAGAGTTGAGATCAGATGTGCAGAGTGCTTGGGGTTGCCGAGGGAGAGATGCTAGATCAGCTCCAAGTAGTTTATCACACCACAAATTTTCTTTCCACGACCAAAGGAGAAATAGAGTCAGATTTTGGAAAGGGTTTAAAAACAAAAAGTCAGCTAAAGACTTCAAAACCGCACCTGGAGAGTGCTGCGTTCTCTTCCCTAAGCCATTTCCAGGGTAATATAACAGCTTTTAGAAAACATAAGTAAGTCATGGACTTAGGGGTACATGGCTGCCACTCCCCCTGGCTGCAGTGTTAGAGGTTCACTTTCTTGGAAGACTCCAGAAAAAGCCTTTAAACCTTAGCTCCAGGAAATGCTTAAAACATCTGAACCCTGGTGCTAGTTCAGTCCGAGTTCCCTGAGTCCCGCAGCTGCAGCGCAATGAGGTGCGAACAGCACCCTCAACCTCCCTCCCTCTGGGCCTCAGTTTCGTCCTTCACCAAACCCGAGGACTAATGTATAGCCGATCGCTGAGGTCCCTTCCAAGGGCGGCGACGTTCCCCTCGGAGACCAGATTTCACTGAAGGTGTGGCACACAGCCCGGAGGGGACACCCAGACGGGAAAGCGAAAGAAGACCTAGGCGACAGACAGCCGGGAGGGAGGAGAAAGCAACGGCCAGGCCGGAGGACAGCCGACTTAGGGGCGAAGCGGCTCTTGGGGGACCCCACGGGCTCACCTGGGTCTCCTCCTCCGAGAGGCCCGCCTCGGCCGCGATGAGGCACAGCGTGGTGGGGTCCGGGTGCTTGTTGACCTTGTTGAAGTTGTACTCCAGGATCTCCACCTGGTCCTCCGTGGGGCCGCTCGCGGGCTCTGCCGACATGGTCACGGTGCGGCTG